ACATTCAGATTGTGATTGCGGTGTGGATGCTGTTGCTGCTGCTGCTGTGCCTGCTGCTGCTGGTGCTGTTGCTGCTGCTGCTGCCTGGCTTGCAGATAGTTGTGGCTTATGTTCAGATTATTGCTGGACACAGCATTGTTCGCCTGGACAGCATGCTGCTGCAGTGCAGCAGCAATCGAAGCAGCAGCGGCTGCAGCCGCCGCCGTTTGCTGACCATGTTGGTGAAGATTCAGATTTAGGTTATTCATTTGCATGGCGCGTTGCGGCTGGTTGGACAGCACCACAGCAGCAGCAGCAGCTGCCACAACTTGTTGCTGGTGCTGCTGTTGCTGCTGCTGCTGCTGTTGGACATTGTAATTCAAGTTGTTGCGATGCGAATTGCGAATGGAATTGTGTTGAATAAAGTTTGTATTGGTGTGACTTGGTGTGGCGACATTCGTCTGGCTGCTGGGCGTGGTCAAGGTCAAGGACTCGTGGGTCTGATCGCGAATATTATTCTGCTGGCGCCTGCTGCCCGCCCGCTGATGGGGCAACGGACTTGTGGCGTTTCTTACCTTGACAAAGACCCCATTGAACAGCTTCAATGTTAGCAGTGCAATGACTATAAAGACCACGCAGATGGCGATGCTGATGTAGATAAAGACGCGCATATTCCCATCGAACATTGTGAACAGCGAGTGCTGATGCTCATCCACCACATCCATGAGTATTGCAAAGTTGGTCAGATGATTGCAGCTGCAGACGCTGTGCGTGCGGTTGGTTGACTCCAAGCTGCACCCATTGGCAGACCAGGCACTACACAAGAGAAGGCAAGTGTTTAATATCGAATGAACACCCCATCTAACAATCATTTGGACACTCACTGATCAATATAGTTCCAGAACACACAGGTGGGATTGGTCACATTCTCCGTTTTCAAATGCTTGAGAGTCAGCGTAATGGGCTGGGAGAGCTGTATATGCCGCCCCTTGCCCAAGCTGGCCGAGATCACCTTGCTGTTCAGTATGCGCAAGCGCTGCTGTAGATCTCCCGCACTTGCCTCGCTATCGTTGGCCAAGATTGCTGTGTTGCGCACTAAGACACGGATTGATTATTCACTTGCATTCTATTCTTCACTAACTTCTTACCATAGCTGCGAGAGCTCTTCAGGTCAAAGTGATCATAGCTGGGCTTCAGTATGGACTCCAGACGATCAAAGGCTGCAAATACAATGCGCACCAGGCCGCCTTCGCTATTCTCAATGAGCGCAGCTCGGGGCAATTCAATGCGGTCAGAGCTGAGAGGCCACTGATCCGAGTCCGGGAAGGTCACACTAGATTGGATGGTTTTCGTTTCCAAAACACGCACCGAGAGCACTAGAGAGTTAGAGAAGGAAGAGGAGATCGTGTCATGAAAATATTGATGAGAATCCCCCCGCAGAGCTCAGCCTACTCACATATATTTTTGACTTTCTGCACCACACTGCGCTCCCTGATAATTGTATCGGCCAGAAGGAAGGCATTGTATTCCAAGCCTGTTAGCAGGGATGTGGCCACACGCATTTGATCCTCGGGATTGAGATCCAGCCAGGAAGACAGCTGCGACTCATCCAGCAAATTGGAGCCAGTTTTAACCACACAATGCAGCAATTCCATGATCATGGCCTCACGCTGCCGCTGGTCGGGGAAAGTCTCCTTGTCGTGCAGCATTTTCTCGGACACGGTTTGGATGATCTTTGTGGTGACCAACATATCCCCGCCGTAAAGGGTTTTACTGCTCGTTACCTCGGACATATCATTGGCAATGGAAATCAGCGACGAGTCTCGTTGGTTTACTCGCATCTCCAGATTGTTTAGCCACAGGCTGCGACACTGCGTCAGATCTGGGGTGAGTGGATGCCAGGTGGGCTCAAAGTTGCGCAGACGCTGATTGACCTTGTGGGCCATGGTCACTGGCGGCTCACAGCTGCTGCTGTTGTGCAGGCAGTCGCCTCTGGTGGGCATGGGGGTCGTGGTGCTGGTGCCAGCCATGTCGTCATCGTCCTCATCGAAGCCTGCATCGGGCATACGCTTCATCAGCACACAGCGCCATTTGGCAATGCCGGCGGCGCCGCCCGGGCACGGCTGGACATTCACATCGCCCACACGGGTCAAGTTCCAGAAGAGATTCCTGGCATGGGTGGGGCCGCAGAACAGCTTGGACTCGTCATCGGCTCCAGCTATGCCAGCAGCATTTAGATTGATGTTATTTATGGTTCGCACAGCGCTTCCGTTGGCTAAAACCGATGGGCCACTGGCCGCTGTTCCCGGATTCCGGTTGGGCGAACTCTTCGTGGTTAAAAGTGTTCCGTCGTCAGTTCCACCTCCTCCCATTCCAGTTAGGATGCGTGTGTTCGAGGGTGCTGTGGCATTGCTGGCAGCTGGAAACTTGCCGCTCGGCTTGGTGGGCGTGGTCTCGTCTGTGTGATGATTGTGATGGTGATGCAGCTGTGGCGGAGGCGGTAGACCGTCGCGACGACCAGTTGGATGATTAGTGGTCGTGGTTGAGGTCGCTACCCCCTTGAGACGTCCGCCCGGCAGAGTGGCTGTACTGCCCTGGGGCGTTGCATGCGTGACAGGCGGCTGTACATTGAACATGCCACCATTGCCATTGATTCCCACCACACCAGGCAACGTCGGCAGACGAGGCGGAGCAGCCGCAGCACCAGAGCCGCCGCCAATATTTGTTGGATGTATTAGACCGCTGCCATTGCCAAAGATTGGCGGGCCATTGTTGAGTACCCATGGCGGTGGACTGGGCCTGTTGGTCGTCGTCGACGTCTGCGCTGCCGAAACGCACTGATAATGTGCCTCGAGATATTTGTGGGTGCCGGTACAGGGGTCCCCGAACATGCTGGTCGCTGCCAGCACGCTGCAACTGTTCTTGTGCGCGCATCTGCAATTAGAATTGGGTTGGAGAAAGGGCTCCCGTCACGCAGTTCAGTTTCGCGACTTACCTTGAATTGAGAACCGTGAGGGACTTGGGAAACATGCAGTTGACACTCCACTCCACGTTGCCATGATCGTTGCATATGGTAATCGAGAAGCGTCCGTAGTTGGCCCGTATCAGATTGATTAGCTCTCCTTGCTCGCACTCAATGGTCAGTTTCTTGCCCTCGCAGGCATAGGCTGTTTGGTACTTGGGAGCTGCAAATCGAATGACTCGTAAGTTGAAGATCATATGTACAGTTGGTGGGTTAAAAATATAAAGGATATATATATGTTGATATAGATATATGGCATATAGAGAAAGTATTGATTAGCGTTGCGTTGATTTGTTGTAGTTTGGTTTGGTTTGGTTGTGTGATGATGGATCTGCAAATACACTTACGCTCTATCGACATATGTATGGATACAAATTGATATACTATAGTATGGTAGGTAGATAATGTGATATTTAGCATGATACGCTTTTACGCTGCCTGGGATATACTTAGTATATATTAAGTGGCTGTTTGTGGTTTTGGTGGGTCGATAGCGATGGATGCTTTGTTGCAAGTAGAATAGTAGTCATAAATACCAAGTCCTGCCAGCCCCACAGCTCACGAATCGTCTACCATCAATAGTTATCAGCAATTTTAGCTTCGATTTGTAAAAGCTGAAAGAATTAAATTAACAGACAAAAATATAAATACAGAAATTGTGTGCATAAATATCTTAATATCTTAATTCAAAAAGGATATAAGCTGCAGTGTCTAACGGACACAGATATTTCTGTTCAAGCTACACTACTCTTAAAATGGGGCATTACACCTGGTGTAAAACTTCTCATTTTCTATGCAAAACCAGTTTTTTGACCTATTTTAAGACCCATGCATGTACATACCTCTTACAATAGTCCGTTCCGTAGCTCTTACATGGCACAACAGGCTTGAAAAAATGACTAATGCCTTATCTGGAGAAGACATAAAATACATAAGGCAATTATTTACATGGAAACCATTACCGCACACACGCACGTACACACAGAAAAAAAGACAAATAGAAGATAGGAGAAAGGGAGCCTAAAAATACACACCCTTCTCCATGATGTGGATGTAGTTGTTGCTGGCCATCGATTTGCGCCTCGTCGGGCAGAACAAATACCCGTTTTCTTTGTATACGTACAAAATGCAGTTGCATGTAGAGAAAAGTTGGCGCTGGCTGCGCTGCGACTGCAGGCAGCGCGCTTGCTTCATGTTACATACTCAGCACGCACGTATCCAAGTCTTTGCTGCTGCAGCGCAGTCGCTGCTTTGCCCCGTGGAGCACCATTTTCTATGGTTTTCTTTGTTCTGTCTTGGCACTCCATCACATGCATTTTCAAACACAATTTTCAGTGCTAAAATCAAAGACTTTGGCGTGGCTTTTGTTGCAAGTTGCATTTCGTCACTTAAATTAACACGTTTTAGCTAATTTCTTTCGTTAATTAAGGATTTCTTGGCAGGCAAATTATGCTGACGTTGGCTTGTAATTGGCAAAGAACTGCCTTAAGTCGCAGTTTTCTTTTAACTTTATTCACGATTCACGATAAATGTATTTTTTTAAGCAGAAAGTTTTTACAATATTTTTTTAACAACTATTTGCCTATTGTTAATTAATGTAATTTCTTCGCTTTAATTCCGTGGACCAACTTTAGAAATTTTTCTACAAATTTTTCTGTACACTTGAATTTGATTGGGCTTATCGATTAGAGGTGTCAAACCATCGAGGGCACTATCGATAGTATCGATATTTTACTGATGGCCTCTACTATCGACGGTTTTTAGACTATCACGATAGTATCGATTGTTTTTTCAAAACATTCGACGTTGATATTCCTCGATATTGATATTCCGTTTAATATTACCAGCTAGCTGGGACTCTCAGACCTAAAAAAATCATTTTATCAGATAGATGAATCAATTTCCATATAGCTTAAATACTAATATTTTCCGTGAATTTTTAAAATAAGCCCAGCTATAATTAATAAATGATTCAAGAGCCCGCTGTAGAAGTATTTGCTTCAAGTTCAAGTGCAGCTTGGAAGTAGTTCTTATCAGCAGACAGCTTTGCATTAGCTTCCGGATTTGCGTAGCTCATAAAATATGCATTTCGCTGTGATTTCAGTTTAATTTTGATTGCAATGTGCACGGTTCAGGGAATAAGTCTCAAAATGGAAAACTATTTCGTTTTAGTGCTGATTGTGTTGGCTGTACCCTGGTCCTTTCAGGCCATTCCCAAGATAAAGCCAACCAAGGATGTCAATAAGGACTTGAAAAACAAAACAGATGTAGTACCCGCAAGTAGCCTGCCCATTGCCAATGTAACAGCTGTGGCCGAGAAGTTGGCAGAAGTCCACATTGATCAGCACAAAACCATTCGCATTAGTAAAGGAGATCTGGATGATCTGTTGGATGTTTATATGGGTAAAATAGCAGAAAGTGCAGCCACCATCAAGGACAAGGAAAATGAAATAAACAAACTGCAAACCAAGGAACACACTGACGACGATCTACTGAAGAGATTTGAGAACCTCACCGAGAATTGCAATGCTCAGAATGCTATCTATACAGCAAAGCTGAAGGAAAAGGAGGATAAAATCAAGGAGCTCGAGCAGAAGGTAAAGGTCTACGAAACCAGATTGAAGAGGAAACAGCTGGTGTTGACAGAGTTGAGAAAACATAACACCTCCAGTGCGGCATTGATCGATCATCTGAAGGCCAAAGTCGTGTACTTTGAAGGTAAATTCAGGGAGAAGAAGGATGACCTGTTGGCAGACTGGGAGGCAGCCACCACCAGCTGCATGCCCTTTGGCGTGTCGCCTGGAATTCATTTGATACATCTGCCCGGGTTTCTGCCCTTTCTGGTGCCCTGCGAGGGTCTCCCATCGGTAGGTCCTGGCTGGATGGCTATTCAGCGCCGATTGGATGGCTCTGTGAACTTCTATCGCAACTGGGATCAGTATAAGAAGGGGTTTGGCAAGCTTAACGGGGAGTTCTTCATTGGCCTCGAAAAACTGCACCGCATGACCAACTCCCAGCCCCATGAGCTGTACATAAGCTTCAGGAGATTCAATGGGGAGACGAGCTATGCTCACTACGATGACTTTGTAATCGGCAGTGAGGAGGAAGGCTACGAATTGAAATTACTCGGCCATTATCAAGGCAACTCCAGCGATGCGTTGCGCACCCATGACAAGATGAAATTCTCAACTTTCGATAGGGATAACGACGAATTTACGCATATGAATTGCGCCGAATATCACCACGGTGCCTGGTGGTACGACTTTTGTTCGCGAAGGTAATCCAGCCGTTTATTGAAAAATTCCATTCCAAATTCAGTTAATATTCGCTTCCCTTCCCTTAGCAATTTGAATGGCAAATACTTCAAAGCTGAGGTGGACAATGTCCAGGGCATTTTCTGGGAGCCCTGGTATAGTTTCAGATCTCTGAAATCCGTACAGATGCTAATCCGCCCAAAGAGCCAAATGGAGCTGAAAGATTTGCCGAGCACAAAGCGAACCTCTAGAAATTCCTTAAAATGAATCTCTCCATCGGCTCAACACACAAATTCTCATTATTTGTAATAATTTAATTTAATTTTTTTCTAGCAGCCTAAACAGAAACAGTGAAACGAGATAAATCTCACTCCGAAGCTGAACGCCAAACCCCATTTGTATTTTTTCCTTTTGTTGTTTACTCTTCCGACGCCCCTCCTTACTCGACAGTTGATTAGCTTTCGATTTTTCGTCCCCTCCCCACCGAGTATAATTAATTCGTTACAGTTCAGTGCAGTTGGCTGCTCTAGACATTTGTTTATTCGCGCACAAGTCAGAATGACTTGTGCAATTAATTCTCATTTTCATTTGTGGCTCGCATTTTGCTCTCTGTTGCAACAATTTAATGAAATCTAATTGAGTGTGTGCATTGGGCTCTGACTCTGGTCTTGGCTGTGTCCCCATCATTTGTCACTTGCACTTTTATTGCCAAGTGGTGGCTGTGGGAGTGGAGAAACTCAATTGGAGTCAATAAACGCTTGACAAATTAGCCGAAGTCGTCGAGGCATAAAATATAAATTAATATCGATTCGAAGGAGGATTTATAGCCTGAGCAAAGAAAAATGAGTTTATTCCAGTTTCCTACAGAATATATCCCACTCCAACTGGTTGTTTCCACTTCAAAAGAACTGAAGAGAACACTTATATTTACGATACGATGTACACATGTGCCTTGGGTATAAAAAGAATTTCTAAACGATTCATTTCATATATGTGTGTGTTTGCTTTCACTTTCAATGACATTTCAACCGAACCGACCCATAAAGCAAGTTACAATCATTCGACTAATGGAAAGCTAATCGCTCGATTATCGTGATTAAGCATACAGAACTCAAGCAGCAAAAGTGTTGGGGCCAGGCCATATAACAGACATACTTAAACAATAAATAAATACATTACTTAGTGCTAGATAAGTACACTTCCAGCTGGCAATATCTTCAAGTGGATGATGGCAATATAACTTGTAAACTTGTTACTCGTAACTAACTCTCTACGATTGCCTTGTAAATAACATGGAGCACAGAAGTCGAAGCGAGTGAGTACATACATATATGTACATATGTACGTATATGCTAGAGTCTAATTCTCCTCGGATGGCCCAGAGCCGTGTGCCCGCTTTTTGTGCCAGCGTAGACTGGCAAACTGGGCGAATCGCTTGCCGCACGTGCAGCACTTGTACTTCTTCACGGCCAAATGCAGTTCGGTGTGCTTCTTGAGGTTGCCATAGGTGGTAAAGGTCTTGCCACACACGGTGCACAGGTGCTTGCGTATGGCCCAGTGGGAGTTCATGTGGTCGGTGAAGCGATTCTTCTCGTAGAATCCCTTCGCACAGATGGGGCAGCTGAATGTCGACTGGTTGAGGTGCCTGCGCCGATGTATATCAAAGAAGGACCACGTCTTGAAGGATTTCCCACACAGGTCACAAATGTAGGGCCGCTCACCCGTGTGAGTCCGCAGGTGAATGGCCACCTCTGTGGAGGTGGCAAAGCGTTTGTCGCACTTCTCGCATGCATAGGGAAAGTCGCGCCGATGCCGTCGAATGTGCACCGTCAGATTGCACGGCATCTGGAAGCCCTTGCCGCAGAGCGTGCAAATGAAGGGCGGGGTGCCGTCGTGCCCGGAGCGATGCACCTTATACTGGTCGCAGGTCTTGATGAGCTCCGAGCAAACATCGCAGCGGAAGGGACCCAGATTCTGTTCCAGAAAGTCTGCCAGTCGGGCATGCAGCAGGGGAATGCTGCACGATTCCCCTGGGCTGGTGAGTATTTTCCGTTTCTGTGCTGAAAACTCCTTGCGCAGCTCAAACAGAGTCTTCTCCAGCTGCTCAGCGGCATACACCGTGTCAAAGGTTGTGTTCAGTTCGTCCAACATCTGGGCTAGCGCCTGACTGCGATAGGCATTCGATCGAAAGTCGGGATGATCCACATCCCACAGCGCCGCATAATTGCGATAGATCTCCACAAACTGCAGCTGATCCTCTGACGTTCCGAATTCGATGGAGCTGGCATCAATGAACTTCGTCTTCTGATTGGTCTCCACCACACCGACTTTCTGCAAAGTCAAAAGGATACGTTTTAAAGGATATAGAAGCGTAGCCAACTAGCAGACTTATGTACATACCTTGCTGATCTTATTGAAGATCTGCTCTTGCAGTATCGGACGCAGAAACTCCATCTCGTCGTAGCACCAGAGCTTGGGCAGATACAGTCCCTTGTGTTTGATCACCATGCGCAGCTCCTTGCGGTAGCGCGTCCTCAGCTTCTGTATCTCCTTGTAGCACTCCTCGCCACTCAGCTCGTAGTTGAGGTCCTCCTGCAATTGGCCGGAGATCTCACGGTACAGTTCCTTTTTGCTGCAGCTGGCATATTCGTAGTGCTGCGGATTCCACAGACATTCCAGCCGCTTGAACGCATCCAGTATGAAGCTGAGCACCTCACGATACAGGGCCGATTTGCTGCAGGACTCGCCATCGGTTTCACAGGACTTTTCGCTTTCGGTGCTCTCGCTGGTGATCTGTAAATCCTACATATGAGTTGCGTGTCACAAGAGTCTCTTAACCGACTACATACCTTGGCTTCCCTTTCGGCTCGCTTGTTCTCGATGACGCCTCTGAGGAAGTGCATCTTGTCAAAGTACCACAGGCGGGACTTGTACTTCCCACCGAGGGCGTTCAGCTTGCTCAGCTCCCGGCGATAGCGGCCCCGCAGCTCCTTGAGTACGGCAAAGATTTCGGCGCCCGTCAGCTGCATCTGGCAGATGCCCTCCAGTGGTGCAGCCAGTTCCCCGTAAACACTTCGCTTGGCATTGTACTTGTAGTCCGGATGTCGGGGATTCCACAATTTGTCCATGCGTTCATAGGCCGCCAGCAGAGAGCCAACAAATTCTCGATTTCGTTCCAGTTCGCGACGAGTGCGCTGTGTGGGGTTGTGGGGACGGAAGAGCAGATCAGTTAGAGAACGATCATATGGGGATGGGGGGCATCATTGGCATATATTTACACACCGCCTGGAAGTCCACATTGCTGCCAATACTACTCGTGGGGGATGTGGGCGGCCCTGGGGTTGGAGGCGTCGCTGGCGGTGTTAATTCCGACACGTTCTCGGAGGAGAATTGTTCTGGCTCTGCATCAGCATCAGCATCTGCTACGGCTACTGCCACTCCCGCCGCTGCCTCTGCATCTGCATCTGCCTCTTGCCGGGTAGAATCTTTTGCATTCTTGTTTTCCGCCTGACGAAGCTTGCGCTGCATTGCCTGAATCCAACACGAATAAATATTTTGCATAAATAAATAAATTTTGTTATTGCTGCTGTTTGTGTTGTATCTTTAAGATAAGCAGTGCACAGGCCACATGATCTTGGCCAGCCTCAGAGGAATGGGAGGGTTGGGTTTATCGATGGAACAAACACAAGCACAATCACAATCACATGAACACGAACAAACTCAAACAAAAAGGGAAAGTCCGCTCTCCTCGCCCCCAGTTCCCAGTCCTCCAATATCAGCGGCTATTGGCCTTTGTGTCGTCTACACGTTGTCGTCGTCATTGTTCTTATCGGCATTGCATATGGTGGCCCGACTGGGTTCTGGGGTCTACATATGCCCATACATATATGCACTCATATACATATGTACATACATATGTACACATTTCGATGTGTATATCTATTTGTTCCCCTGTTTGTTGTTGTTTTCTTTTTTTTTTTGCTTACGAAATATATACAAAAACGAACCCTCACCAGCGACCAGCGGCCGTTCTTATAAAGGTATATTGCATATGTATCCCTCCTCGTAAGCTTCTTCGCATGCTATTGTACTGGCCATGAATGAAACACACTCGTACGAGTACTCGTATGTATGAATAATTCAAGGGTACAAGCACAGAGTTGGAAAGTTATAGCTTTGTTTTGTGATCAAATTGCCTTGATCTGTGGAAACCAACTAAGGTAACCTTCTCCAGAAATGAGTCCCGACCTACCCCAGAACAGAAATCGATAAGCAGCCCCCCATAATTACAGAAACTCCAAACGAAGCGAAATTAATTTGCTCATGCAAATTTTTTTTTTTCAGCGTCCGTCTGGCGCGCAAACATTAGATACGGTATACATACAATATGTACGTGATAAGCAGTTCTAACCGGTTCCCACCCGTTATGATCGGATTCGCGTGAAACATAATATAATGGCACACCCTCACACTGGGTATTTCTGTTTTAACTTGAGGTTTGTAATGATTGTTCAATCAGCAAATCCCAATATCTCGTGGAGAAGAAACCCAAGTTCCCTTTCGCTTATGGGAAATTTGTGCAGTGAATCGCGACAAAGTTTCTTTGTGGATGAAATGGGGCTATAAATTATAAAGAACTTGCTTCTTTTTCAGTTGAATTGGTTAGCTATATGCTGGGATAGGGTATGCACAGCTTCGCACTATTTCGTGCTACAATTTCGAGTAGTTTGTTTGGCCATAATTGCTAATTGAAGTTGTCTTGAATTAGAGCGGAAGGCGAGTGGCCGCGCCACAACAATCGTCGACGTTTTAGTCCCTTTTTTATTCCATTCCTACCCCACCCATAAAAAGTCGATATTACTAATGGGGTTGGTAGTAGATAAAGCAAAATGTGGGCCAAATAAAACGTTGTTTGGGGAGAGTTAATTATGATTTGAGGTATTTCTAAACGATTAAGCTGAAGCTGGTACATTAGTTTTGGGGTTAATTATTGTATGATTAATTATGCACTATTTAAAGAGTGTCCTTTTTCGCTGCTAAATTTTATGGAAATTCTCGTAGGTATAACAGAAATCAATATTAATGTTACTACAATCGTTTTGATTGTAAGACAATCCCTAGCCTAACCTAAACTAGTCACGGGCTAGGGCTAGGCCATAAAAACATTATTTGAGCCGAAGATAATGACCATTTCTAGTCTCGCTCGATAACCAATTAAAGGGTACGGGAAAAATCCATTAAAAGCCTTCAGACAGGGAATCAAAGTTACAGCTGTGCCCACAAACCTCAGTGAGTGGTAATCAATATTCAAATTGGGTTGCTGGCCAAAGTGGATTCTGATTAATTGGAGGGCATTTCAACGGACCTCAAACACTCTCA